TGCTTTTTTAAAACATTTAGGTTTTTGAAATGAGACCAGGAGGTTTACTTAGACGTGTCTTTGCTGAAAATATCTGAACATAAAACTTCTTCAGGATAATCTGAACCCTTAGTTGTGAATAAACTTGGGTGGATTTTTAAAAATTCAATTGTTTGATGTCTACATAAAATCAAAAGTAGTGTTTTCTAGGTTTATAGAGCAGCCTTTGTGTGTCTATGGTGGTGTGCTGAATATGCCAATCCTATTCTGGAGTAATAAACACACATGCTGCCCTCTAGTGGTGCAGATTGTTTACTGTTTTGTGTTTTCTATAGAAAACAACCTGAGGCAATATTTAGTGGGGTTGTTCTACAGTTGGATTACTTTGTCATAAATAATCTTTACAGCATTACTTCGACTCGTTATTGTTTTGTGCCATACACTCTGCCTCTCTTGTGTGGGTTCAGCGGTGGTGTCATCTCTGCTCAGTCTGTGCTCCTCCACACTTATGTTTACCAGCACAGGATCCCACGACTGTTACCATAGAAACCCCACTGCCTGGCACCAGCTGAGGCGAGAGTGGAGCTCATTTTTCAGGGGTCTCCACAGGCGAGGCGAGGCGAGGCACAAACTAGCTGAGAGAAAACACTGGTGGTATCAAAAGACTGGTTTATTCATCGATAAACATACAGGCCACAAAAAACAATGGATGGTAGAAAACAGCGGTGACACATTTAGAGGGGTAAACATCAAACATCAAGAGTTCTGGTGAAAACTGTATTTGTTTTATTCCATTTTCAAACACGTGTTTAATGCCTCATGCTGTGACCCACAGATATTAGGGCATCTCGTTATGAATGTCATGTTCTCCCTACACCTCAGAGATGGCCGGCAGCATACAGGCTCGTAAGCGCGCCTCCCTCCATGCTGACCTGCAGTCTGAGATCCACTGAGAGATGAAGGACTGTTTGAGTCCTGGATTCAGTCTCTCTCCCTCGGCTTCTGGACAAATCCTCCTGGCCTCCAATCTGGATGAGTTGTGCTTTCGGCAAAGATTTGGGACTGAAGGAAGGATTTCAGGGCAGCTGCTCTCATTCTGGCAGGAGAAGTCTGGACCTGAAACATGGGGGCTGCTGTTGGATCTGACACTCCTGTGTTGCTTCACAAATTTCCCATCTACAAAGGCTTTCCTCACAGTTCCCGACAAGGCACAAAGGTTGTTCTGGTTCCCGTAAAGGAACTCTAAAGGGTCGTGGTTGCAGAACCCGTTTAGTTCTTTTTTGTCTTCCTGCTGCAGGTCAACATAATGCTCTTCTTTAGGTTTGACCTTAGAAGAGGTTAAAGTAGTCCCGATGAACCGTGATGACTTCAGCCTGTGCTGCACCGCGTCCTGCTGCCGCGTGTGGATTTTCTCGGAGGCAACATCTCTGTTGGGGAAGGTGGGCCGGGCCAGGTGGCAGATGGAGATAAGGTAGTCCTCTGATGAAACTCCCTGGCTGCTGTCACCAAACTGGAATGTGTTTACAAAATTTGCCGTCTCCTCGGTGCCCTCTCGGATTGTGGGCAGCATATTTCTCCCCTTGGTCAGAAGTCTGGATCGCGGCCGCATGGCTGGAAGACAAACCAGAGAGGAGAGGTACTTTTTAGAGTTGGGGGCGTGCAGGCTGTGTGAAATTCAGGTCTTGGGATGGATCTGCGTTCATTTTCAACAAACTGAAATGTTTATTATCTACGTTGTTTACCAGAAATTGACTTGGCCCTCCCACATATTCAAACCTTTGATCAACAGCCCTCCTCAGATCTGAGCTAAAGCCTTAAGAAACGTTTCACAAAACATAATAGTTTCCAACCCTCAAGTCCTCGTTTGACCTCAATACCTTAAGGTGTTGTTCCTGTGACATAATCGGACACAAAAGACCCCCTCCAAGCACACACGACATGAATCAAGTTTAACTAACAAACGTCTCCCCCTCTCTTCCCTCTGTGAGAGGCAGTGTGAACAACATGCTGCATAAACAGATGGCTATTTTCATCCCAGCCTATATTTTCACCTCGAGTAAAGCTCAGAAAACACATTTTTATCTCAAACCCCAAACCAAAGATTCCACCCTCTCCTGGTTTCTTCCAAGGTGTGTGACCACGACTAAATTTAGGTCACTCCTTTGGCACACAGTGTCTAAAAATGACTCCAGCTCAAGGCTTTTACACAGATAATATTGTTCTCAGTAATTATGGGACAATTTCTAGGAATTGAATCTTTGCACTCACCGGGTAAAAGATGGTGGGTTTTATTTCCTCTTGATCTTTTCTTTTCTCTTGTCTTCCTGCAACCAAAAACCTGAATCCGTCTGTCTTGTTGCTCAAGATCCTGTGTTTCTGTCCAGCGGTACTGCTTTCTAACATCAACTGTCTCTGAGCAGAGGAGTGGTGGAAACGGAGGTTTATCTCCTCCTCACATCCCTCCTCCTGTTCCTGCTCTCTCTCTCTCGCTCACTCCCTCTAGCTCACTTTTGGTTTGCCCTCCTTCCCTGCTTCTATAAAAAGACACACCATCCATTTCTTCAGCCTGAGCCCTGCTTCTGAGTGACTGTAATGATGGGGAGAGGAAAAACAAAAGGATGAAAAAGAGGGAGGGAGGAGGAAGAGAAGAGGCTCAGACAAAGAAATGAGCAGGATGATAGAAAAGAGAAGAAAGGAGAAAAACAAAACAGATCAAGATTCTTTTCTCATGTTTGCGAAACACGCCTGAGTAAATACAAACACAAAACTCTTTAAGTGAACGATGCTGTGTACAAAAAAAAAATGAAATAATCTTCATTTTATCAAAGAATGACTAAAATGTAGACTGGCTGAGGTGCACGTGGGAGCTTTGCACGTGTTTGCCTGAGTGTGTGTGTGTGTGTGTGTATGTGTACACGTATGTATGGTGGAGATCATGTGATGCTCCACATATGGATCATGAGTCACCAGTTCCACCACAGAAACACGTTTATCAGTCCTTTAAGACATGTTTGTTTGATCACTGCCATGTAATAGATACGCTAAATGTGAAAACAACAATGTTTACAAGTAAAGAGTGAAAATGAATCGACCCCTTCACAAATTTGTTTTGTTTTTGTTTCAGATCAGCAAATGAGCAAAAGTAAAATGTAATGATGAGAAAACTGTTGTTGGTGGGCTATGTGAGAAAAGATCCCCTTCTTAGTCCAAAACAGGTACTCAAAAGAGCAGTTAGGTAAAGACTACAATTCAAAAACAATCATTCATTTCTCTTTTCTAAATAAGCAGATTTACAGATAAAGCCAATGATCACACTTGTAGATAACACTCAAATAAATACAATAGCTTAGTGTGTACAGTGGGGAAGTTCACTTGCTACAGCAGCACATATACTTAGAGTAAAGTATGATAAAAATAATAAGATTACAGGTAAACACACAAAAGCAGGAAGCTATTATTGTAACCTTCAACCACTAAAAAACAACAAATAAAAAGAAAACTTGTGTTTTCAGAACTATGCAGCAGAAGGGACGCAGACATACTAATGCACATCTGGTATTGCACAAGTATTGAACACATACTGAATATTGCATTAAAACATTTGTGTAAAACGTGTTAAAGCTTCTTTCCATGGTATTTCTCTTATCCGATGGCACAATCTAGTAGCTGACAAGCATATCACACTCCTTCCATTTTTTTTAAGTTGGCAACTCCACGTTTCTGTTCACAAATGTGCTTCTGTAGCCGACAAACACGTTGTTTTACAAGTATTATTCTCATGACATGTTGTGTTCTCATATATTTATATTTTAGAGACTTACTTGTCCGTGAAAAGTTCATCAACTCCGCATCAGCCGAGGTATTCCTTAAATTAGAAGCATGTAAGTGATAATCTAATGCTATTGGGGGGCGTGCGTAGCAAAAAAAGAAAAGAAAAAAAAGACGTATTGCTTACATTATATCACAGTATATGATAAGATAATCACTTTTATGGATTTCTGACAAAGCATACATAATTTCTGAAAGGGGAAAACTCCGGAAAGATACTTTAAGATAGAATCTGTTAAAAACCATAATTTCTTTCATTTATTTGCCCAAAATCATGACTTTTCTAGGAAACACACGAATAAGAAACACGTTAACATTATGATTATATTTAGAAGAAGCAACATCATCGCTTGAAGTAGCGCCAGTGGCAGAGCGCTGCTCGTTCCCAGGGCAGGGAAGCGCTGAGCTGTGCTGAGTGAAGTTGGCTTCCAAACCACATCAGAAATCCATGCAAATAGAGTGGTTAGTGCTACGTTTGTGCTGGATTTCTGATGTGGGTGGGGGACCACCTTCACTTAGATCAGGGGTGGGGAACCCTGGTCCATCGAGGGCCGATATCCAGGATAATTTAGTTTCAACCCTGCTTCAGCACACCTGATTTCAATCAGCAGGTGATTAACAGGCTGCTGCAGAGCCTGATGAGCTACTGCACAGGTGAATCAACTGAATCAGAAGTGTTGGAGCAAAGACATGTAGGATACCGGCCCTCAAGGACCAGGGTTCCCCAGGCCTGACTTAGATGCTAAGGCTGGTCTGCTGAGCAGAACACGGCTGCAGCTGCTACACAGACAGCAGCGCTGTTACTTTTAGTTTTGTGAGACAGTTAGAAATGTACATCTTGAGCATTGCTTTCATCTGGTTTTGGTTATCAACAAACACTCCTGCATGTATTGTCATGTCTTAGTCACCAAAGATCTACTTTTGTCATGGTCTGTGTTCTGCGTCTCCCTCGTCTCCCTCATGCATCTCCTTGTGTTCTCCATCCCTCTCTGGGTTCCCCTTATGTGTCTCCTTGTGCTTCTCATGTGTCTCCTTGTCTGCAGCCCCCCTCATGTGCTCCTTGTGTTCCCCAACCCCTCCAGGTGTCCCTCTAGGATCCCCCTCATGTGTACCCAAGCTTCCTGTGCCCCTTTTTGTCCCCAGCTCCCTTCCTGTCACGATCCGCCCCTGCCTTCCTGACTGTGTCTCTCTCCTGCCCTGATTAGTCCTTATAGTTCTCACCTGCCCCTCGTTAACCTGCCCATGTGTTCCTAATTTTCCCTGTGTATTTATACCTCCCGTCTTGTACCAGTCTTCGTCAGATCATTGTTTTAGTTGTCAGCGTTGTGTTTGTTCCTGCCGTTCCCGCTCTGTTATTAAAATCATTTTTACTTTATCCGAGCCTGCATCTTTGCCTCCGGGTCTGCTCCACCACACACGGTCCGCTGTCATCTCCACCCGCAACGTGACACTCCCGGTCTCCCTCAGGTCTCCCCTAGTCAACCCTCTGTAGTTTTTCTATAGGTTCAGCTTTTCAATTTATTAGTCTCCTTTGGTGTGTGTTTCCTTCCCCACTTGTTAATTAGTCTCTCTCACTCCTCAGGTCATTAGTTATTTATTCTTTGGCTTTCGTGCCCTTAATCTTGTAGGTTTATTTATTTGGAGATTCATAGGTTAGGGTTTATCCCTTCTGCTTGGTTTTCCCTTCCCATTTAGTTAATTGATCTCACCAGTCTCCCCTCAGTTCTCTCTCCCCACACACCTGCTCCTCGTCTCCCAATCACCCAGTCCCTGTGTATAAAACCCTGTCTGCGTCTCAGTATTTTGACGGCCCATTGATGTTTGTCAGCGTGCTTTGTCCCCCCACTAGGTCTCTAGATCTCTGCTCATGAGTGAGCTTTTGGTTTTTGTCTTTCAGTTTAGACATCAGGTTTGGCTTCCTGCCTTTTGGATTTTTTGTTCCTCATCCAAATAAAAGGGATTTTACTTTTACAAATCGCTCCTGCCACGTGTCGTCTGGTGCTCTGCATCTTTGGTCCTAACCTCCTCCAACTCACATCGTGACAACTTTTAGCTCGTCAATGTCTTGTTGTTGGATGAGAAAAGGAGATGTCAATTAAATCAATTTGCCGTCTAGCATGCTAGACAGCTATGTCCTGTAACAAGGCGCTGTCGGCCAGTGCCCCAGAGGTAATGAATTCATGGATACTGATTGGCCAAAAATTCTCCAGTTCTCCCTAGAAACCGAACATGATTGTTTAGCTGCCACTCGGGCAGTTTTCCCAGCGCCACAGGGGTGATATTAATAAGTCTGTTGGAGGAAAATTTCCATTTAATGAGAGAAAGCTGGTGAAAATGATGTGTAAATAGTTTAGATTGCATGAACGTACACACAATTAATCACAGGTAATTCATGATTTCTTGCCATGGGAAATAACTTTTTACACAGGGCCAGATAGGATTAGCTAGCTTTTTCATTAGTAAAGCAAAACAGAATTTTTTTAATTTAAACTGTTCATTTAAATCTATAACTGAAAATTAGTTGCTGATTTTAAACCATTTAACTGTGATAAAAAAAATAAAAAACTGAACATAAAGCACAAGTAATCACAAAAGGAAAAATGCTTTTCACAACACTCAATGCTGAACTGAGCAAAGTCCACAAACAAGGAAATGATGTGCTTATTTTTAGTGTATTTTATTTTATTCTAAGGTTGCACCAAAAATAGTTTGAGAACACAAAACAAACAGAAGCAGCTACTTGAAGGATTTGGGGTGGACATGAAGAGACTTCCACAACCTGATTGGGACGACTGAGCTGTAGGTTTTGTATGGAGTAAATCTGCTGTTGTTTACCTTGAGTTGTTGCTGTTTGATTCTGAAGCTTGTTGTTTGTCCTAAACTATTAGCTGATTTGGAGTCATGTTACACACAGGATAAGCTTCTAGTGGAATTTTTTTCTATCAGTGCAAATCACAAGGTCTCTGACCACTGTGATAGTTCAGCCATGGGTTTGTAAACAAGAGTGTAATTTGATATGATCAAAAACGATCTCTGACCAGTGGCAGAAAATTGGAATTCCTCGTGTGTAGATTTAACAAACAGGTTTGTTGTTCAGTTTACAGAGTTAGCGATAATCTCATATCCAGTCTCACGTGTGCCTAAAAAAAGTGTTTTAAAGATCAGATGTGTTTAGAGCCTTGATTCTTATTGAATGGAAGTTTCGAGAAGGGCCCTAGTTCAGAGGGAGGTGGCAAGGCAATGCAAATCCTGTCTCAAATGTTTTAAAATGCATCTAATCTCATTTATCATGGGCCATGGATTTCACATGTGATGTCCATGAATTTTAAAGACACATTTTGATACCAAGAAAGTGCTTATTTTTGAATGTGAACAAAAGTTGTTTTAGGGTTTGTGTGAAAATACGTCAAGGACTACAAATGCGCATCACCAAATTGACATCATCAAACCAGACATGGTTAAAAACAGAGGAAAAAAGGCTATAAGGTTAGCAAGCTTCGAACCCTTCCTTCAGGAAGAAAGAACCATTGAAAATCTTGCCACGTGGTAAAAGGAGATTTTGTGATGATGTCTGATTTGTAGTCATAGTAATAATGAATTTTTACAAGCTGATAAATCTCAAAGTACGTGTCTGGTGTCGAAACACACATCATTATTTTCATTTAAATTGAAGTATTTACCACCATTCAGGGC